CCTTGCCACTAATGTCTTACCATTATGCGGGTGGTATTTTAGCCGCTTCATGTACAATGAATATTTATTTTTGAAAAATTTTATTTATTATTTTCATAACTGTGAGATTATTTTTGTACGGTAGTTCAAAAATGAAGTAATTCTGAATTACCCCCTTTGACCAACTACTCTTTATCGGAAGATTAAATTGATATTAGATTAATATCATTTTATTATCTATAGTCCTTAATCATTCAGTCAGTTTTATGTTTCCATTCCCTCGACACAGGTGCATTTTTCGCGTGTCTGTGATTTCCTGAATATTTAGTAAATATTGATTATTTTTATTTTTTTAAATCTGACGGTAACATTTCCAATGTTCCGATGTGTCGAGGTGTCTATAAATTTTATGATAATTAAGTCATCAAAAGAAATCAAAATAAAAGCAATCAATTAACACTGCCAATTCAATAACTTTTTATCAATTTCCCCCATTTTTTGTTAGCATTTAATAAATTTTCTTAAATTCAGAATAATTTTAAAAAAGAATTTAGTGGGTGCAATTATATATTTTATAACATCAATCAGGAAAGAAAATAATAAAAAAATAAAAGAAATGTATTAAACTCAAAAGTATCATTTCACTCGTGTTTAATTAGTTTAATTAATTGATTTTTTATACTTTATAAGTATAGTGTTGAAGCTTAAATAAGCATGGAATAATACAACACAAAATGTACGTTAACAAAATGTATTGAAACAAAGAATAGGTACACAATATTTACAGTTAGTTTGGTATATTCTTGGGAAGACTGTTCCTGCATAATGGGTTGACTAAATCGCAGTCGGGCAGAGTCTCTGGATTCAATTCCTTAATCTCTACTATCTTCCCCGTCTTCCGGTACCAACCCATATTTATATGGTCGGTAGTCCGCTTATGTAAATTAGGTGTATCATACACAACATATAGATAATATAAAAAAATAAAATTATTAATTATACTAAGTTTCATAAAATTGTATAGAATAAAAAGTATATTCTTAAACTATTGGTGATATAATTTTAAAGTGTTCCGTATTTCTTTAATTTAAACAAAAAACTCACGCGCTTTGCAAGAGTCGGGATGACAATAGAAAACTATATACCTTAGATTATGGTGGCTGGCGATAATTTGATTCTTGTGATAGAACAGGTTTTAATTTAGAAATCTCTCTGAAAAGAGATTTTCAGAGATATTTGGTTCAGTTTTTGTCCTGAGAATTTATTCAAAGGTTGTGTGCATGTTTGGCAATCATTGGTTTTTTGGGTTGTTTTTGGAGTGATATCTACATATTTGTTGGTAGTAGATTCGACCATTTTTTAGATTCAGAGAAAGTCAAACTGTATGAAAGGAAAAAACCCTGACGCTCACTATACTTGGATAAAGAGACTATGTTAGTGCTTCTTTTGGACAGAGTATATTATCTGTGTATCCTTGGTCATGTCAAGGTGAATCGGTTTCCTCCTTGACAGGCCACAACTGTTGGGCGCCATGGTGGGTGGGGAGCATAGATAATGAATTTCACAAAACTTATATGTCACCTCTTCTGAATAAGCGACTTCTACAAACAGGGTTATTTTTAGTTTCTTTGCAGATTTTGGTTCGGCCATGGAGGAGAGAACGTTTTCAATGACAAATGCATCAGTTAGACATAACTACTGTATTCCTAAATGATGAACTGAAAGAAGACATTCACATAAACAGCCAGAAGAATTCGAGATTAAAAAAAAAACAAAAAAATCTAACAGAATATATCGCCTGTAAACTGAATCTTAGCCTGAAAATCACCAAGATATTGGAATGAACCACGAGATAGATAGTCAGCTGAAAAAGATTCATTCAAGCAACTGAAAGATGGCCGTTGTGTATCTCTACACTATCCCCAGGAGGCAAGATGTTTATTGCTACTGTTTATGATGATGATATTATTCTGGCAAACAAGTTTTTCACATGTATCCAATATTACGTCAAAAGAATTTCAGAAAGTTTGAACATGGACGTGGGAAACTACACTAGTATTTGGTTGTTAAAATCGTTTACCCAGAACCAGTAAAGTTATGGATTGGACAACCACCATATACCACAGAAATTCTAAAAGATTCCAGATAGGGAATTCAAAAACTGCAACAACTTCATTTGATTCCGGAACTAAAGCTATTAAAACGGGGAGCTGTTTAATCAAGAAGTATACCAATCTGCAATTGGAAACCGACTGTATCTGCCACAAGAACATAATCAGATATTTGCCTATGCAGGCGTCAATATAGCAAGATTTTGTTTCCAGTCTACAAAGCAATACACTCAACAGGAAGTCTGTAATGCATATTATGCGTTACTTAAACGATGCGCGAAACTATGGGTTGTTATATAAAAAAACAATCTTATGCGATATTCAGATCTGGTGATCTAGATGACCGCAAGTCAACCTCTGGCTACCTATTTAAATTAAGCGTAGGTGCTTTGAGTTACAAAAAAAATCCTCAAGCAGAGTATACAGCATTGGCAAGTGCAGCACAAGAGACAATATAGATGCAGTGTCCTCACTGCAATCTTGATTAAGCCTTGGTTAGCTCAACGATCATCTACAAGGGTCAATCGACAATATGTATGGGAAATAAAAACAAAGTATCACAAACGATTAAAAAACATCGATATTAAGTTTCATTATATCCGAAAACATCTCAGTGAAAGCTACTGGAATACTCTCAGATATGATTGTAAACGTGCCGACAAAAGGACTCACTAAAACACAGTTACGTGTTAAGGACGTAATTGAACAGTCAATCAATGAGTGAGAAGTTTTGAAAATTTCCCTCTCGTCAGACGAATATTTATGAACAGTTCACTTTTGTGGACCTTACTAACAGTAAGAAAAGGGTTATCTACTCCAAGTTTATTATTTTTGTTATTTAACTGAGAGTATAATATATTTTTATATGACTCCTTAAATAAAATTCTCCACGAGTTTCAAAATGAGAAAAGTGTCTTTGTTTTATTAAGTTCGTTCTATTACTTGGAATACAAAGTTGAAAACATGTATTTACTAAAACAAATTATGGTTTAAATTTTATCATTTGATTTATCTGATTTGAATCAATCCGCAAAGTCGAGAAAGGTGTTTAAATATAAAAATATAAAATATTTTTAATTTCGAGTTTTTACAACTATTTTTTCTTAGCGTGTATGAGTTCTTACAGTCCTTGTTTGTTATTGTTTGCTAAGATGAAAAAATGCGATTTCTTCGTGTGTATGCGTATAAAAAAAGGCAAAGGAGAAAGTGAGGTGGAATGTTTAAATGTCACGTAGCTTAGAGGACTGGTGAATAAGTAAGGGAGTTTCTTTTAAGCCGTAGTGTTGTGAATTTGTTGCAGTATGTTGCTACTCCTTGCTTGTCTAGTCTAGAGACTTATATAGTCTTCAAAAGGATCACGAATCATGTTTTTTATTGTTGGTGGTAATGGGACACACTGGTTGAAAACTGTTAAATATTTATTTTCAAATGGTTAATTTATTAACCAGAAGGATGCGCAAATCGCCCAACTCATAAATCATTTTTTGTCATTTGGTCTTTGATTGACTTGGTGTTTATTTCCGTCTTCGCTCTACACATCTACCAGGAAACTATGAATGTGGAATGGAATTGAACTTGTGTTCATCGGTATGTGTTGAATCATGCTGCGTAACTGAAAGAATAAGTAAAATATTCCGTTGAATTCACTATAATCGAGGAGGATCTAAAAGCGTCACTAGAGAAGAGTGTAAGTGAGCCGATTAACTGTTCACTTTCATAATCTTACTAATGTTCAGTTAGTGTCAAACTGAAAGCAACTGCTAACTGACTACAGCAGAGTTCGAATTCCAGTCGAGTTCGTTACATTCACTTACGGGCAAATACCTTTGGAAAATACATGAATCTATTTCCCCTCCTTAAATAGCAGGACGTATCTCTAAACAATCATTGTTTTTCCCAAAAAATTGTTAATGCAATATACATGCGTAAAATATGTATCGGCTTTAAATAACCGACAAATGGTTGATAAGCCATAAAAAATACAAAAACAAACAAATACCTGGGCAAGTGCTACATATTGCTACACTTAGACCTATGCCAGCGCCTATAATTTCTCGATTCAAGAAAGAAAGCAGTAGGAGGAACTCGGAATTATCGATCCTGTTGATGTGCCAACAGACAGGAAAAGTTGAATGATCATCGTTACAAAGTATTAATGCAACATCTGTATGTACATCGATCCGATATCTCTGAACCGAGCACTGAACCGTGAACAATTATAGATACAGTACTGCCAAGGTTAACGAATGCGAAACACTTCATCCGCTTACTGGCATGTAGAGTTGAACACCCAATCCAGTTATTTTACTACCATTCAAACAGGGTTCGGTCAGTATCGGTAGCTCATACTCTCTTTCGAAACCCACGTAAGTTCCGAAATATATATGCAGTGATGCCGAGAGAAGAGGATCAAACGGAACAAAGAAAAAAATCTGTCATAGATCCAATCCGACGGTTGACTCGTAAAGGTATTCCTTCCACAGTTCGAAAGAATGAAGCAAATAGTCACAAAACCATCATTTTCTACAACCAGAAAGTAACATTCGAAATACTTAGAAAGTATCGATCAAGCCCTACTACAACACTGAAAGCCTGTATGCATGTGAAAGCAGAGCTCTCATTTATACGGAACAGAGATATGTACAAATTGACTGATTTGTGTTCTACGGCTTATCAACCCTTTACAGGTTATTTGAAGCCAGAAAATATTTTAGATTGTAAGAATTGGGGTGATGGGAATAATAATGGTTTAGGCCTACAAGTATTACTAATTAACTCATAGCTGGAGGAAGAAGAAGTAGATTCATACCTTTCTCGAATGAATATAACGAACACAACGAAAATTGGGACTTGGCTCTCCGATAAACAATTCTGAGCGATTATCCATTATATCACCCGCACAATCCAAATTTACAGCACCTGGTATTCCCAAGCAGTTACCGATCGAGATACTGCGCAAGATTGACGTTGCTTAACTTCGGTGATAATGAGGGAACCGGTGTTTCATCGTGATCTGACCGTAAGCCGTACAAATTTAGAAGGAAATATTTGCAATCGTATTCTCACGTATGGTAAAAGAAACCTCTCGTGAAATCGCCAAAAACAACCACAGAGAATGTTACTGCGTACTCAAAAATATGATATTGATGTATTATATCAAGGGAAAGCATACTATTACGATCGTACCTGATAAATGAGTTGTCAAACAGTTCGAACTTGTGAATATGGTCAGTTTTCTCCCGGCTTTTTCTCCAGATATGCAGTGCAATATATCAAGTAAACAGTAATACATGGTTGACTGCCTGATAAAGCCGATCTTTTGGCTACGCTACACTCATATTTTCATTTATATGATAGATGCTCAAGATAGCCTCATATTTAAAGGTTATCGTATACTCATTCCGTTCAAACGCGCAATTCACTCACAGGTATTGATAGATTCCTGTGGTGCACTAGGGAATATATTTTCTAGTCAGGCATGCCGGCAAACATACGGGAATACATTTTCACGTGTAAAACTTACTGCAAGTTCACTACAGAACAACTTAAATAGACATGCCATATTATGAACCTGATCGTCTATGGCAGAAGATTGTTTGAGTTCGACTGTATTGAATACCGTATAACTGTCGATTACCTTTCGAACTTCTGTGAAATAGATAGACTCGAGGACATTGCCACTTTAATTGTCATCCGTAAATTGATAGCACACTTTGCGAGATATGGAATTCCATGTTAGGGGTTTTCCCATGCTGTACTCTACATTACGTCTTCGTAATTTAAGCACTTTTTTCGAAACATCACATGGTTATTCCTGGAAATCAGCAAGCAACTAGTAAAGGCGGTGTCCCCAAATAAACATTCAAAACGTTTCATGCGGAAAAAGACAAAGAAGACTAGTATTATGCACTGCTCCATTTCAGAAATACTTCTACCGAACGAATGGGAAGCAGCTCTTCTCAACACAAAGTGAATCGTCACACTCGTACATTACAGTCCATGATAGGCAAACTACAATCAATGACTTCAAGCCTCGAGTTGAGTGACAAGACGCTACTTGAACATAAGCAAAAGGTTCAATCTAACTATTACGACCGTCCTGCACATGATTTGCCTGCATTGAGAGAGGGTGATAATGTTCGAATGCGCGACTGTGTAGGAGAAAGGCGGATGAGCGTTCATATGAAGGTCCGACACTAAGTGGAATATATCAACGTAACAGATATTATTTGCGAAGATCATGAGAACCACTGGAACAAATGCTGATCATCACCCCCACATCAAACGAGCAGTCTAAACCCACCACAACCACGCAAAGAAACAACTCCAAAGAACTGGATTGAAATGTTTATGAAGATATTATATGAAAGATTAAGAGCTGAGAAATTTTGTGTATAAAAATGGGTAAGTTTGATAAGGTATTTTTGTTTTTGTAGGAAAATTAAACAGTTTGTTTTTGGTGTTGAATTTTGTAATATTGTACTCGACTTACTGTTCTGTGTATGAAGTTGTCTCTTTGATTGAATGTGTCACTTGATGTTTTCTGTTGAGTTTATGTAGTAGAGTGATTGTACTTCGCAAGCTGTGGAAATGTTAAGTAAATTTAACTTTAAGCCTGGTAAGTTATGTGACATGGATTCGTGTGTCGAGCTGAGAATTTCGTAAGAAACACTGTCGAAGTCGAATAATATTTCGTATTTATTGATGTTTCTAATCACGTGGGAGGCGCCAAGAAATTTGGCGCAAATTTGCATCTGCTAAGGATACACACTAAACCGATATGATGCATACGTAGTTGAGAGCATATGAAATTATGATTTTTTTTGTTTATTAGCCAATCAGAAAGTGTTTGTAGTTACTTCTCGTTTGGAGCCGATTTTAATGGGTTGTTGGGCTACTTGGATTGATTTGAGATAAGTTTCGCTCTGAGGCACTTTTAATGGATTTTTAAACAACCGTTGAAGCCTGATTCTACACGTCTGATAGTCCGATCATTATATCACACAGGATACATAGCCCATTTTGGATTTCATAAAAGCAATGGCAATTGTTATTTCTTCATGTAATATCAAAAACACAAGATCTTAAGACTCACGCTTTCTACTGTAACTGTTTCTTCCTCACGTTAGAAACTAGATCAGGGAATATACAATCCAAATCGATTTATTGGCATTTCTACAGAGAAATAGTCGGTTGACACCTGAGGAGTCTTGCGGTTCGCTAAATGTCTGACTAATATACTATCGATATTGTCCTTTGAGCATTCTTTCATACCATTTTTAAACACTTGAATTACTTTTTCCGACAGAACATTACTTGACGTGTTGTATGGCCACATATGAATATTTTTGATATTTTTCTTATCCATGGAGTCCTTGCACATTTAATTGACAAAATGAAAACCATTATCACACACTATTAATTCCAAAGCATCACGATTATCGAAACACAAGCGCATCATGGTCACTATTTAACGTCCATACCCTGAACTTACTGTATATCCATTTGTAATGGGAGTCAAAAATAAGTGAAGTCATTAGACCCATCAACACAGCACTGCATAATCAATGTGGATTCTTGACTATGTTTTACTTGAACTCGATCAAGAATCTAACTGAAGGTATTTTTTCAATTGCTTTGACACAGTATATTGATCAACAACGGCCTCAACATCAAGCTAGCCAACAAACAAGCCCGTGTGTAAGCGATTTCATTCTTGATCTGCCAGGATGTCCCACATGTAATTCCTATCATATTTGCTAGCTGCTTGGTGGAGGTATTATTAAACACTTACCACATAAAAGACATCCAATTAGAACACAAAGTTCATGGTGCCTATATTGATAGGACCTCACCAAAGGTCACTTGGCATGAACAGCCAGGTGACACATATTTCACTTCATGAGACAATATTGAGTTATGGAGGATCAACCTTGAGACAACACAAATTTGTCTAATAAATGCACAAACTCATACAAATCTAAAGTTTTTTTTTAGTCTTTGGTAAGAGTAGTTGATTTAAAACATCGATATTAGACTTATCACTGACTGTAGGGTTTCTAGTTCTCTCAGAATTGCCCCGCTGTATAGGTTGAATATAGGTTCTATTTTGTTCTTGTCCTATCTCTGGCCTGATTTTGCTCTATTCATCAAAATACAGATGATGAGTTTTATCATGTAAACCCAGAAAAATGCCCCAAATGGCTCATGTGGGGAGTAACATACCTACTCCCCAAAACAGAAGAGATGCAGAACCTGAAGAACTATAGGCTCATCACTTGCCTAACAATAATGTACATGATCCTCACTTCTGTCATAACTGAGAGGACATAAGACTTCCTTGAAAAAAAGAAATTACTCCCAGCAGAACAGAAGTGGTGTAAAAAAGGAAGTTACAGGTGCAAGGGCCAACTAATTATCAGTAAAACAGAGGAAAGAGGTGAAAACCAGGAAAAGAAACTTATCGATAGCATGGATTGACTACAGAAAGGTGTCTGACTGTGTACCACACTCATGGATAGAGAAGAGCCTAAAAATATACAGAGTATGCTCCACAATGGTCAAATTCATAATGGAGAGCATGAAAAACTGGAAGACTACACTAAACCTAAACCATATAAATGGGTCATTAACATCGAGACGACTCAACATTAAAAGCAGGATTGTCACTTTTCTACCTTGCATTAGCACCACTCAGCTGCCTACTGAGCAACAGTAGCTATGGATACAAGTCAAAGAATGGCAAACTGAATCACCTATTCTATATTGGTGATCTTAAAACATTTGCCAAGGATGACAACCAGCAGAAGAACCTACTCACCATTGTCAACACCTTCAGTGAAGACATTAGGATAGCATTCTGAATCAAAAATGTTCCAAAGCCATCTACTAATGAAAACTACAGATTAATGAAGGAGACAGAATGCAACATTCAATTATGAAGAAAAAGATCCGAAAAGAATCTTATAGGAGAGTGCGATTAATATTAGAAAGCGAACTTAATGGAGCCAATAAATTAAATGGAAGTTGAAAGACATTAAAAGATTGGACACCAAGACCAGAAAAATGCTTACCCAAATGAGGATGCCCAACTCGAAATCAGATGTTGATAGGCTGTACATACAAAGAGCTTTAGGAGGTCAAGGTCTAATCCAAATTGAACTAACTCTAAAAAGTAAAACAATCAGATTGGAAGCATACCTCACAAAAACCAATGACCTCTTCCACAAATAGAAAAATACCAAATCCACTCCATCAACAAAGAAGCTGCACTCTTCGAGAAACATCTTAATATACCTGAAATCCTACTAACAAAAAAACAAAGTGATTACCATCTATGCCAAACGAATAAAACAGAAAGCAAAACAACTTGGCCAAATGAAATAACAAAAAAACTGGGAGGACAAGGCGTTGTATGGCAAATACCTGAAAAGAATGAAAGAAGTAGATGTTGATCAACAGAAAACACATCGGTGTCTGAAAAGCACCAAGTTGAAAGCTGAAACAGAGGGCCTATTTATTGCAGCTCAGGACCAAAGCCTCACAACCAGATCCTATTACTATCACATAATCAAGGATGGAAGTAACCCAAAATGCAGGATCTGTGGAAAATATGATGAAACTGTCAACCATATTATCTCAGGATGTCCGGAACTAGCAAAAAATGAATATACCCAAAGATAGCAAGGTAGAAACATATGTGCACTCGAAGATATGCAAGAAGCACAAAATAAAACCACTGAGATATGGTATGAGCACCAACCTGACACAGTTACCCAGAATAATGATGTAACTTTTCTCTGGGACATGCCAATTCAAACTTACAGGGAAATAAAAGACAACAGAGCTGATATTCTAAAAGACAAGAAATTCAGGAACTATATGCTTATTGACATAGCAGTACATCTGAGAGAAACATGCCCATGAAAATTATCGAGAAATTATCCAAATACAAGGAGCTGGAGATTGAGATTAACAGGATGTGGGGAATGAAGACTGAGACTGTACCAATAGTAATCGGAGC